TTGGTTAGCTTCTTTGCAGCAGTGCCCATGTCTGCAATCAATAATTTCTGTCTGCGGAGATGGACGATAAGGTCTTTCGTATTTTTAACGAAGTTTCCGTCGTCTACAATTGCAAATGCTGCTTTCATGACGAGATCCATTTGATGCGCTGCACACCAGACGCGTAAAATTGGATGTGTAGCCTCGTTTTCCAGAAGAGTGACTACACCTGCATGGCGACCGGTCATGGTGTTCTCACCGTCGGAGGCAACTCCAATCATCTTGTCTCTCCATTGGCCATATAGAACATCAAGAGTTGTTGAAATCAGATTGAATTGCACGATTGCAGTGTGGCGCTCAAAGACAGGAATAGCAAGTAAGTGGATGTTAACTAGAACACCGTCAACAGCAAGCCTGAGACGTTGGTCCATGAACGAACGCTCGTAGTGTGTAGATATATCACTTGCAAAAGCAAATGCCCACATGTATGAATTGGCCATGAGCTCACCGATCCGCTGAAAAGAAATAGCAACGAGATACCTAGCGTAGGTACTCGCCAGCGTATCCGTCATCCCGTACAGTTTATTATTTCCCGTTGCTTGATAGTGCTGCTGGATAACGGTAGCAGCTTGACGAAATGATAACCCAGCACTCATGTGCTGAATAGCGAGATTAAATCGGAAGGGCATTTTAATTTGTAGCCTGTAAACTCCTGCATCAGCGTCTCCAAATGCTCGAAGTGCGACAGGTTCTGAAGCGCCTTCATCTTCGTCATTGAAAAAGATTTTTCCTATCAAATCAGTCACTATATGCTCCGGAATGTCAAAGCTCAGTGTAGAAGACTCGACTTCGTAGTGGGAGGATAACTGATTGTTGTGTGAAATTTGACCAGAGAAAAATGCCGATTTCTCGTCGCTGCTCAGGGCCTGATACTGCGCCCACTTAATACCATGAGCTGTTGTGTTATGATCTGTGTAGTATTGAGGTCGATATGGGGGCTTGTAAAACTTTTGGTTTTGGGTTCGTCGTCTCTTGCCGTTCTTCGATTCCTCTCTCCCAAAATATTTGCAAAACTGACAGCGCACGGAGCACACTACACCGCTAGCATCCTTCGCCATGACTTTTAGTCCATACTGGAGCTCATGAGCAGGCTGGAAGGGTGTCTTACGCGACGGAGGCTTACTGGAGACGCTAGGCTTTAGCCTCTGCATTGTTTCGTCAGCAGTTTTCCTATACTGAAAGGTCGGTAAAATGCGGCACTTCCAAAAGGTCTATTTAAGGCGCATTGCCGCTATTTATAGCGAAATGCCGCTTTTAAGGAGGTCTGAATTAAACACCGCAAGAGATAGAGAGCCGTATTTTAAGTTTTAAGAAACACCATTTAGCTAAAGAAAGACACAAAGAGCAGTAGGTACGACAGAAGTACCATGGCCTGCCAGAAACACCATTTAGCTAAAGAAAGACA